ACCGCAGCTCTTTCGCTGGCATTGACTCTTAATACCTCTCACACCACGGTTAATGGTATGGTTTACAACATGGAGTATAACAGCGCCTCGCAGCTGTCTCTCTCCCCCTCCTCTGTTCCGACCATGGATGAACTCGTCCGTCTGAACGGGGCTCGTAGCTCTCCGTGGTGCTAAAGTTGAGGGTAAGAATCCACCCATTTTTTCGCCATATAGCATTGTGATATATAGCGACTTATTGTTGGTAGCTTAGCTGATTGGAGAATATATAGAGTTTATTGATAACATTGAGGTATATTCTTAGCTCTTTCGAAAGAACTAAGATTATGAATTACTGCAGTCACGAAAGCTTCAAATCAAAACATTGAGGTAGTTTATATTTTAGTTTTTTTATTGGTTTACTATATAGTATTCATTATATAGTGTAGTGTATACCCAGTTACTGTTAATAGCTCAGCTTATTGAAGAATATATTGAGTACATTTATTATATTGATGTAATTTAGACTTAGGTTTTTTTCACATCGGTTTACTATATGATAATCGAGTTGTTGCAGCCCCTTTGGCGTCCATGTACTAGGTGCCTCTGTAGATGTGTAGGCTTTGACTTTAACATACCTATTTCTATGACCAGTCACAAGCTAATCCCTCAGTTATTTCAATGCTAAATTCTCCTGTTTGATTTGTACTAGGTGCCTCTGTGGATGTGTAGGCTTTGACTTTAACATAGCCATTTCTGTGACCAGTCACAAGCTAATCACTCAGCTATTTCAATGCTAAATTCTATGCTAATTCCTTTGTCAAGGCGCTCTGTTTCTTCTCACACAGCTTAAAGGTCGTGGTCTGGGCTTGGCTGTGTTCGCTCCAGCGCTGTCCTCCAGACAGTCTCGTCCCTTCACCTGATGAAGGCCGCTTGTGTTGTGGCCGAAACGTCGTGATAATTTTATTGTATTATTTTAATACATCAATTTATTATTTTATTCTCATTCTACGTGACTTTACCGAAAGAACCAACGAAGAAAAAGTACAGCCATTGTGTATTTTGCCTCACAAACTTTTCTTTTGTGAGCAGGACTTTACGTCACAAACCATTATGAGTTTCTTCTTAAGGTCGGTGAGGAACATGGTAAGAGAGACATTGTGCTTTGATACCAAGACAACACCATCGAACGAATTCCTGAGACAAACAGAGCAAATGATGCCCTACGATACCCCATTACACTGTCGCAAGGCCAAGATGGGTACCACGTCCAGGTTCCTCAAATTATCAAAGCTATCATGTTGTAGCATAGAATTTAGCATTGAAATAGCTGAGTGATAGCTTGTGACTGGTCACAGAAATGGCTATGTTAAAGTCAAAGCCTACACATCCACAGAGGCACCTAGTACAAATCAAACAGGAGAATTTAGCATTGAAATAACTGAGGGATTAGCTTGTGACTGATCATAGAAATAGGTATGTTAAAGTCAAAGCCTACACATCTACAGAGGCACCTAGTACATGGACGCCAAAGGGGCTGCAACAACTCGATTAAACTGTCTCGCCTAAAGACTTCTATTCCTTAATGATCATGGACAGAAAAGGAGGAAACCACATATTACGGTGCGCCAACCTCTTTCACCAGTATGTTGTCGATGAGTCTGCCACAATTGAGAGTGAGCGCCTTCCTTGCATTCAACTGAATCAAACACGCCTGCGTTTAGAACAGCATGCTTATCTCAGGGACGTTATCAATGCTGACGGAGATGCAAACGCTCAGAATGTAGGGAGATTAATTATTTTGCCTTCATCCTTCACGGGTGGACCAAGATACATACATGAGAAGACTTAGGATGCCATGACATACATCAGGCTATATGGCAGGCCCGATCTCTTTATCACCAGGTTGAGCTTTATCCAAACCAAAAGCCAACAGACAGACATGACATTGCAAGGGTCTTTAAACTCAACGTTGATGACCTCATGATGCTCATTACGACTAAGGAAGGCGGCGTCTTTGGAAAGACAAGATGTAACTTGCACACCATTGAGTGGCAAAAAGTGGTCTTTCTCATGCCCACGTTTAGCAATGCATGAGGGAAAAAATTCATAAAAGTGGCATTGACACATTTATCAGTGCTCAGCTTACCTGACCCCCATCAAGACCCTTCCCTATTTGATGTGGTCTGCAAGCAAATGGTCCATGGCCCATGTGGGGAGTTTAATCCAAATTTGCCATGTATGCACGACCGCAAGTGTACCAAGAAGTATCCACGAAACATTTTGAAAGACACTCGGTCAGGGCATAATGGCTATCCTCTATATCATCGCAGAAATACTGAGGATGGTGGATGTTTACACAACGCTCAGATCTGGCACTAGCTCTGAAATGAAGGTTGACAGCCAGTGGATCGTTCCCTACTGCCCCCTCTTCTGTGCAAGATCTTCGAGGCCCACATTCGTAACATTGGCAAGGTGTTCACGATGTCAATGTGAGGGATGGGTGAGGTTGCAGGAATATATTTAATCGCTACAACATGAGCTAGTGAATTCGCACAGGTTCAATGAATTCCACAGGATGAATAAGTATACAGCTTTATCATTGTCACCGAACACACGTGCTGTATCCTACCACTCGTTAGCTTGATTAGAATTCATTGTTAATGTTTACCTGTCTATTTATGTATCTATCTAATTATTTTGAGTAGCTTCGGGAATATATTTGGCTCACTCGTGTCTGGCTTATTAAGCAGGCTTTGCTGTAGACATTAAAAACAGTGCACATAACCGATACACAACCCAGGCATTTGTTACATTTAAGGTCACCCCCCTACCACTGTGTCAGTCAACTGCGGCAGCGAACTGCAGCTTGCTCTGGCACGATGGACTACCCGCCTTGCTTTGCAGGCCCCTCATTTGCAAGCCGGGCTTGCGCGAGCACTGCATTCAAGAGCAGGTGCGCACAGTTTAAAAACACAGGACAAGGCAGTGTGTCGTCTTTCCGCCGCATAGTCCGATTCCAACGGTTGGCTACATACGGTGCTAAAAAAGTTCAACACACACACATATGTACATTATACCATTCAATGTATAATTTGTTCAACGTAGATATATACTACGTACGTAAAGCGTACATAATGCAGAGTGTAGTTTTGTTTCGAGACAGAGGTCACATTGACAACAGGTCGTGCAGTCAAAAGACAAAGCATTCTTCCCCACAGTTTGCGGTGCACCCAAGCAACTGAGCCAGCGCACGACGAGGGGGATGCCCCCCCCACCCCCCCCAAGGGGACGTATACGCGGTCAGAACGCAGCCTTGGTGCAATTGGTCAGAGTTTGCGTGCAGCATGAGCCAATTACGGCCCTGGAGAAAATAAGAGGGAGGGAGGAGAGCAGAGAGAAAAGGGGGGTGCCAGTAGGACAGCGGGGGAGGAGGCAGAGAAAGGGAGAGTGCCGGGGAGAGAGATTAAAGAGAATTGGGCAGGCAGCTCAATGAACAAGCACTGAGCAGATGGAGAGGAGAGGAAATAGGTAAGGACGAATCACAGCCGAGGAAGACAGCGAGAGGCAGTTTAAGGGAGAGAACAGATGTAATGAGGGCAGAATGGAACAACACAGAAAGGGGAGGGGACAAAGGAGCCAATGAAAGAGACGTGGAGGAGACGCGCAGCTTGAGCAAGACAGACAGTGGGGAGTGATGATGTCAGACATTACAGCATTCTATGTTGGGTCAAGATCAAGAGGTCATGACGACCATCGCTGCGGATGTCACAACACCTCGGCATTAAATTCAGATCTTTGGCTGTTGTGCATTCAACACGCAATCCCCAACGTTTGCACATGATAAAGTTGGCCGTTGGCCTTATCGCGAGGTACTAATACAGTAAAACCTTGGATTGCGAGTAACTCGGTCTGCGAGTGTTTTGCAAGACGAGCAATTTTTTTTAAAATAAATATTAATTTGATTAAACGAGCGAGGTCTTGCGATAAGAGTAGTACGTGTACGCTTTGTCTGCCGAGCGTCACGTGATCACAACTGATATACGAGTGCTTTGATATGCGAGTGCTTTGGATTACAAACACGTTTCCGGAACGAATTATGCTCGCAATCGAAGGTTTTACTATATGTGCATGCCCAGTACAATGCCTGCCTCAGTCACCTGCCTTCTTCCGCACTGCACGCGTCCCACCAGCCACAACCTTCTCTTCCTCATCAAATCTGCAAACTAACTTTAAAGTTGCTCACACTATTAAGCAACTCCGATTAGCACGGTTGCATGTGTACAGTGCGAAAGAAAGTCAACATGCATGTATACATACAGTCCTGCCATAAAATCACGAGCATCCGCTGAATTAACCGCATTCAAAGGTCAAACACTTATTTTCCATTTGCTTTAAACACAGACGTGCCATATTAAACAATCCAACCCCTCCTACTTCACCAGGTATGTTATATTGTTCTTCTGCAACATATTTGTCCATCTTACGTTCTGATTGTAGGGTTCGTATCACGACCGCCGTGTGCGGCGTCTGCTGCCGCCTCTTTCTTTCGACGCAGGCTGCGAGCACACATTTGGTATCCGCGCCGTTGTTACAGCTCGAGGCTGTCACGAATGCGTTCTGCACCAACTTCACAGGAAAGGGGGCGATGCTGCTCTGCGTTTTCCCAATTTAGTAATTTCCCGGTTGTTCTTACGACTCGGCAAACATGTACCCCAACGCCGACACACAACGGCCTTCTCGTTTCGAATGACGCCAGGGGAACCTCTGAAATCCGCTGCGAAGCAGACGGCACGTGCGCTTACGGTTAATACACCCCCAGTAATGACCAGGGCAGCCTGCCGGATTCGTGCCGCCAATCTCCGCTGGGCCGCGCCACCACCCCAAAGCAATATTCACGAAGGGGTCGCGGACGGACGACGCAGCACGTGTTGCACTTAGACCTGGGAAGGAGGAGCTGAACGTCGAAGGAGCGAGGTCTGGGGGAGGAGACAGGGTGAGGAGAAGGACAGACGCACGGTTACCTTGTACCCGGGCCCCAGCTGGTGGATGGCGAATATCTGCGCTGGGTTGAGCGCCTCGCTGAACACAAACACGGCGCCCAGCTGCCCGCAGAAGACCCGGTTCGCATCGGCCGTCTCCGATGATCCCAGGAAGCATTTGTCGAAGGTCTAAAAGCAAAGCACACATGGTAGGTACGAGCAGAAATGGAATGATTATTTGAACTGCAGGAGAAGGAATCCGATGAGCTATGAAGCTCTTTTTACACAGATGTCCAGTAAAGGGCACGAGGTCAGCAAGTTACACCAACAAACAAACGATAGGAGGTGTACCTCCTATCCGATTAGCACGGTTGGCTACGTATGGTGCAAAAGACGTTCACCCTACATACAAAATAGAGAAAAGGTAAGCAAGTCATTAATAATAATAAAATATTAAACTAATGATATATGCAAATTGCACACGCACACACACGCCGTAAACATAAGGGCAATGATCTGCATTTAAGCTTTCAAACTCAGCTGCCTTGGTCTCCCCAAAGTTACCGTTATCAAATAGCAGCAGGTACTCAGTGCTGAGGCAGTGCTTCAACCAGTTTTTGTGTGGTAGCCCCCCCCCCCCAATCAAGAAAACCGGTCCCCCACCCCCCCGTCCCCTGCCCCCCCCGCCCCCCCGCCCAGCAAAACAAATATACAACCAAGTTCACCAAGGCCACAATGTCATGAGTGGCAGAGGTCGCGTCCACAACGCTGGCCAATGCGGTGCTAGCAAGGCGTTCGCATCGCCTTGTCTACTGCCGAGTTTTGTCGCGATAATGTATAATGAACTTCTTTTGCGCCGTACGTAGCCAACCGTGCTAAACGTGGCGCTGATGTCCCCCGCGCAAGTTAAAGGTTCATCCTGCATGGCATCAATGCCACAAACCTGCGACCCCTCTGAAAAAGTGTTTCGACATTCACCCAAGGGGCTCCCGCACCCCCAAAGGCTGAGAACCGCTGAGTTACAGCGAAGTAAACCTCGAGGGCGAGGGGCACAGGCCAGGTTAAGCTGACGTACAGAAAATAGCCACTACGCCTTCAGTCTACAAAGACCCCCCATATAGCCTTAACGGACTGTTGGGGCAAGTGCTGTTAAGGAGCACCTATGAAGGCCAGCACAGCACACGAGGTGGTGTGTGGCCGCCATCACGTCTGGCCACCGTTGTCTCCCTCGTGGCGATGTTGACACACCACACCATGTACTCATTTGATAATTGTCACTGGTGTTGGCTTTGAGCAGGAATCGAACTCGGGTCACCGGGTTCGTAGCGCAGCGGGTCAACCATTACACTACCGCTCCGCTGCATTCTACACACACACACACGCCTGTGTACACTAGGAATGCCACAGGGTCTCATTTTCCCCATACATTATCTATTCCTGGTAGCTGTCCTGCTTATCAGTTGCGAAATGATACGCCACTCGACACGACGCACGTACTCTACATGTATACTTCTCCCCTCTTGCGGTATCGTGAGATATTGTCTTCACCATGATACGAGCGCAATGTCGAGTCTCGGAGGTGGTAACCCTGGTGCACGTGCACACTTACACAACCACACATACTAAGAGACTTAAAATCATTGGAGCAACAGAAGTGTCCTCCTATTCCTTGTCATGGACTACAAATGTGTACAAATATTCGCCACTGTAACTGTTAAAGTTCTGCATTCGTCTGTGTTAATGCGCTCTTGAGCTTAAGCCTTTGACTGGTGCTTAACACTGATGGTTCTACGCCATCAATGGAGATGAGCACCGTCAAGTAACGATCATTGGAGCCGGTGGACACTTTGACCCGTCTTAGAGACTGTGCTTCTCAAAAGCGTAAGTTCTAATAAAGATGAGCATTGATGTTTGGGCCTCAACAATTGGCTCTCGGGGAGCAAAAAGTGCCCCAGATTGTTTTGACAATGAGAAACTTGGCGGAAATATTTAACCACTTCTTCCCGTGTAGCATAACACGTAGACAATGGTGCGCAACATTGAGAGAGAGAGAATAAGAGCACAGGGTTGTTATAGCAAGCAAGTCTTCGAAGAGATTTTCAGCCTGGAAGTCCCGCAAGAGTCAAACTAAAAAAAAACTTTTTTTGTTTCCTAAAGTGCACGTACGATCGTGAAGTTGGCTTTCCTGCAAGAAAAGTAACATCGATGTGCCTTTCCAGTTTCAACGCTTGCACTTGACAAGACGTTTATCGTACATGCACATATAGCAGTGAAGTGTCAGCATGATTGCATGATTAAGCACTTTTTACAACTGCATGTCAGTGCTATGAAGCTAATCTTAATTTACCCACTGAGCTAAGTATTGAACAAATGAATAAACATTGCTGTGTTATGAGAGACACAACTGCTACAATTTTGTATTTAAAAAAAAATGTCTATGAAATATTTTAGGGCAGATCCGAGGTGGCGGGGCAATGGTCCTTCTTCACAGCACAAAAAGAGGTCACCTCTCTGGCCTCCGTATGCACTGAAGGGAAGACTGCTGCCCGAAATGTTGTCTATGACAGACTTTTTATTTTTAAGGCAGTTATTTATGAACGTGTTGCGTTTTTTTTTTTAGTTTTTGTTACCAGTGCTTTGTGGACCACTGCCAATGCAATAATCACCAAATAATGTTTAGGTATTGTACCAGAAGAGGGTAAAAGCAAATTTGAAGTTCGGACTACAACTTGGAAAGTCAACAACTGCAGAATTAAATCAGGAAAAGGAAGGCTGCAATGGGGTGGGGGCTCTGCGTGCTGGAAGGAAAATGGGCAGGTTGGCATCGGCAGATATTTGAGTGGTGCGCAGAGGTGAAGGGCAACAGTGTAAAAAATCAGGCAAAAGAGTGCTGAAGAAACTTGATCTATCACTCGGCCTTAAGATTTGCATTGAACTGCCCATATAGGACTCACCACTGTGATCTCTACATTGGGTCAAACTTAACATCTCTTCATGTTCGACGGCTTGTGCACAAGATCTTATTTATTCACGATGTCCTTACAAAAAAATCCGCAGACTACCTGCTGGATCTCCTCTCTGTTTCAAAGAACAAATTTGACCTCAGGTCTTCGCTCATTTACCAGCTTCACATTCCCTATTGCCGTACAAAAACTGGAGGAAGGGCCTTTGCTATTGATGCCCCCAGGGTCTGGAATGCTATTGCCAAAAAAACTGCAACTTGAATCACTACCTATGAGATCTTCACTCAAAACTGCTCTAGAGGAGTTGTACACCCCTATCTGCCACTGCTATTCAGTGGCCTAAAATAAAAATGTTTCGGTCCGGATGACCGCTGCAAAGTATTATCTGTATTTTGATTTAGTGTGCTGATCTTAAAGGTGCACTGAAAGATTTGATACTCCGACTGATGCTCCTATTGTTGTGGAGTGACTCATGCAGCCAGCTATGGCTCTAGGGTTTGGTATTATATGTTATTTATGTAGTTTATTGTTACAAATTCGGTCACAGTCCCTATGATCACTGTTACATTGCATTTATGGCTTTATTTTGGTGATTTCGAAAAGTTTCTTGGTTTGGCCATGTTGTTTGTCGTAGTACGGGGTTAGACTGATGGCCTTAATCTAAGTTGTCTTGTGGTTGTTGTTGTTGTTGTTTGATTTGCATCCCACTGGGATTTTTGCACACAGCGTTGGTGTACGGTGCTTTTTCAGGAATATTTTGCTGTTTTTTCCTGGATTTTCTGTTTGCACAGTCACATAGTCACTTTAAGATGTTTTATTGTTCATGTTTTTGTTCTTTATTTGTTGCGGTTGCACCAGATTCAAGAGCCGAATGGCTCACAGGACTATACCAAATAAATGAAACTGAAACTGTAATGGCCTAGTCGTGATGGCATCAAAAGGCACCAGCCACAATACATTATTGGCCCTGATCCTAGGTGGGGGGGGGGGGGGGGGGGGTTAGAAAGTGGCAGAAATGCAAAAAATGTGTTTCCCTAATAGAGATATTACAAGTAGGGCTTCTAAGATGATGTTGGACGGAATTGCCTCAAAACACTAAATCAGTAGTTGCTCAGAACTTATCACAATAACTGACTTTTACTAAATGTAATAAATCATCAGGACGATCATTTGGATAATTTACCCCAAAATTTAGGTTTTCAATGTTCTGCTGGATAACTCTCCGATGCCTTTTAGGATTGCGCCACTTATCCTTGTGCGCAATGTCGTTCCTGAAAACTACTGTAGAGCCTGAAGGAGCTCGTGCAGCGAAACGTCGGACATCACGCTGAATAACACCCACGGTACAACCTTACAACACGTCGCAGTGCACTGCAATTTGTGCGCTCCCATGCCCTCGCTTGCCTCTTGCCAATTTGTGGTGACAAGTAATTCAATGCCGAGCTGAGGAATTTACCAAACTCCAACGACGACTATACACGTGCAGCCCAAGTAACATTTTCCAGGGCGATTTTAATTACTTTATCTGATCATTCATTCGCATTAAGACCAACAACACCCTGCAACGTGTAAGGAAAAAAAAAAGCAAACACTAGCAGTTAAAAACAAACAGTGCTAAGTTTCGTTTGGAGCTGCCATTTCGGAAACCCTCATGGTTTATACAATGAGGCTTTTGGCCAGATGCAGTAACCGCAGGATGTAATCCCCAATGATACAGCGCAAGGGCCGCAACCACAAGCTGTGGATTATCCAAACATGTGACAACACTAATTAACTGTGGGCTTTTTAATTCTCCCTTGGGATAACAGCGTGGTTTACTTTGCTTTGCTTTTAAAAAGTTCTGCTTTTAAAGTCGTAGGGGACCCTCATGGGTGAGACTTTGATGATGGCAATAAGATCAGATATGTTTAATATGTTTATGTAAATAAACTACACCACAGCTATATATGTGTGTGTGGTGAATGCAGACTTGATTCCCTGAAAAAGGTTTCTATTTGGTGTTTGCACATCTTTAACGCCCGTTTTATTGCCAGAAAGGGTAAAATGTATTCTTATTTTTTTATACTTTGATACTGCCAAAAACTTCCATTTTGTAGCTGGTCACCCCGAACTAAGAATGCTATGATACACTGGCAGAGCCAGTGGGGGGTGGGGGATGGCACGTGCCCCCCCCCCCCCAATAATCCGATCGAAATCCCTAATTTCGATCGGATCATTGGGGTTTAT